GAGTAGATCTGAAAATGACATGATATCACTGGTTCTTCAGTAGCAAGAACCAACATAGTAAGCATAGTCATACTCTCAAAATTGTTATACAGGAAATATAATGCACTATAAAACTGTAATACACTATATTAGTGCAATCCCAATCAAAATACCATTGGCATGCCTCCTAGAAGTGGAGAAAACACTCCTAAAATGCATTTAGAACAAGAGACTGAGAATAGCAAAACCAATTCTAGGCCACAAAGCCAGGCCCGGAGCATCACAAACTACACTACAAGTTATTGTGCTACAAGGTATTATGATAAAAATAGCATGGTATTGGGCAAAAAAAAAAAAAAAAAAAAAAAGACCTGAGGGTCAGTGGGACAGTTTAGAAGATGCAAAAAGAACTCCAACTATACTCAGCCACTCTATCTTTGACAAAGGTACCAAACTTATTTACTGGAAGAAATATAGGCACTTTAATAAATGGTGCTGCAGAAGCTGTCTTTCCACACCCCAAAGATGAAAACTTGACTCTTGTCTATCAACATGCACTAAAATGAAATGAAAATGAAAGATTTAAATATTAAAACAGGGCTGGAGAGATAGCTCAGGGGTCTAAGCGCCTGCCAGGAAAGCTCAAGGACCTGGGTTCAATCCCTGGTACTATATGTCATGCCAGCCCCACCCCAGCCCCGCTGGTCTGGCCACTGAAACGAGGCACAGTGGCATACACCTGTAATCCCAGCGCGTGGGAGGCTGGAACAGGAGGATCATGCTACGAGTCTGAGCTGCAGCGAGAACCTGTACCCAATACATGAACTGCAAAATAAATAAATAAGCAAATATTAAAAGAAAAATCACTAAACATGCTGGAAGAGATAATAAACAGAATTCTCGATGACATACGTGTCAGCAAAGACTTCATGAACAGAACCCTAACAGCGATAGAAGGGCACTCATGTTTATAGCCACATAGTTTTTAATAGCTAAATCTTGGCAACAACCTCTAAATGCCCACAAGCCAAGGAATGGATAAAAAAGATGGGGGGGGTTATTTTATACAATGGAATACTACACTGCCATAAAAAGGATTCTTTTGAGACATTTATCGCTAAATGGACAACCTTGAAACCATATTCTTAAGTGAAATAAATTAGACGCGTGTACATATTGTATTCTTTGTTGGGTGTGAGAGACTGAACGTGGAAATAAGAACCAGAAGACAAAATAGGTATCACGAAATCGGAAGAAATTTTTTGAAAGGAAATGGGAATGATGGGGGAGGGGAAGAAGGGATAAACACAGAAACAAAGCTTTGTAATTAAGGAGGGGAAGAGAGGTCCTGGGGAGTAAAGAATGGGAGAGAGAAGGAGCTAAGCCTTGAACACATACAGCTCCATATTCTGTTAGATGAACATAATCATCAAGTATATCTAAATTTTACCAACAAAAGTAATAAATATATAAAAAGAACTCGCTATATAGCCTGGAACTCACTATGTAGCCCAGGGTAGCCTGGAGGAGATGGCAATCCTCCTGCCTCAGCTTCCCGCGTGCTGGGATTATGTGCATGGGATTATGCAAGCACTCCTTAAATATTACAAGCACCTTCCCGAGACATTGCTATAAAACAAGCTGCACATATTCGCAGAGTATAACTTGGCGATTTTGCCTTATGTACGCACGTGAAGAGATTACCTCAAAGGAGATAGTGAACCTACCATCTCTTCCCCCAGACAAAGTTATCTGGTGTCCCTGGTAACCCTCCCTGCTGCTCTTTCCTACCTTCCCATTCCCCACACCCAAGGGGGATCTGGTTCCTGTCATTATAGATCTGTTTCTCATCTTCTGGAGCTGTGACCCTGTGGCACCGTGGCAGCCTGCCGCAGCTACAATAAACACCAGAGGTAGTTCATGTACGAACAGAGCAGCTTTTTGTGCTCGCAGGTTAGGAAGTTCTCTCCGTGGTCGGTTGTTTCCGTTGCTCTGTTGGCTGTGGAGAGGCGGCGCATCAGAGCGGCGTGCTGCGGTGGATTTGGCTGAAAGGGAAGTAAGAGGACTTCATGGAATAGTGGTCATAAGTGATGAATGGCTTGCATACATCTAACTCCTCCTGATAAGGTTGTCTCATCAACAGGGCAAGAGATTTGAAATAACAAATTCAGCCACCTGTGAGGTTTTGCTACTTTCCTCTCATATAACCATATCTTGATAGATGTCTAAGAGTTGCACCCACTTAAAGTGATATTTGTCAGAGAATGAAGCTAGAACACATCTTATTCAATGGTTTGTTGGTTTGATGTCTAACTTGCAAATATTTAGACAGGTGGCCTGGGACCTTAACTTGCTCTCCCATTCCTGGCTGCACATCTGGATTCCTGGCTGGCAGGCTGGCTTTTGGGGGTTCTTTGAATGAACAAGAATGCACCCAGGGCTTTTGTCAGAACTCTGGCATTGGGTGGCAGCCCTCTGGTCTCCCTTTGAGCGCTGACATCAGCCCCTCCAAGATTTTAAGCTGCAGAGAGGCAAATTTCTAAGGCATGGCCCTGGGCTAGGGAAGTCTCCCTCACTGCATGAAACTCCAACTCTCCAGAGACCAGTCCATTCGGGTCACCAGAGGACCTGGAGAATGTAGGCCACAGATGGGGCTTCATAGAGCTGTGGGACTTCATGCCTTCTCTCTCCCATCCAAACTGCTCCCTTCTAGCTGCTCCTGCTGCTCCATTTGCTCATAAAGTGGTACCCACAGAATGCCTTCCGGGGCTCTGTCTCTCTCTCTGGTCCCTCTGGCTCCCTTCCTCAGGATGTCACACAATGCTTGCAGCTGCAGAGAGAAGCAGGAGGTGGGGAGAGGGCAGCACCATGACCCTGATGTCCTTGTCACTCATTGAGACCTGCCGTCTTGCTTCTCAAGTTTAATGGGCATCAGTTAAGAAAAAAAAAAAAAAAAGTCCTTCAACGCCTTCAAGCTTCCATCTGTGGACACTGCTCAGACTTCTTTGATGACTGCGGACGCTGAGATGTTGCAGCCCCACGCCCATTTCTCCTGCGATTTCTGGGGAAGAACATTCCAGCCAGTGCGAAGTCCCTCCTCTTCCCAGCAGTGTCTCACTGCTGCTTGAAATCTCCGCACAGCTTTCTTGCAACACTTCCTCCTTGCATCTTGTGTTGGACGTGTTTTAGGCGCGGTTCTTCTTCTTACACTGTGAGCCCCTCCAAGGCAACACCTGCATTTAGCTCAGATCAAAGGCCCTTATTGGTGCCGCACAGTTCCGGGCACACAGTATGTGCACAGTAAGCGCAGAAAGCGTGGATGCACGGGAGGGTATGTGCTATGGCTGAGCGGATAGACAGAGGACAAGAGGAACAACCACGGGCCTCCCTAGCCTGCAAGACCTATCTGGCCACTGCGGCCTCGGGCCTTCCTTCTGGTGGCTTTTCTCCCTCTCCCTGCCATCTCCGCTTTCACTAGCTGTCTCTTTTCACTACTTGGTCCTCCCTCAATCCTGGCCATCCTCTTCCCATTGTGAGAGTGTCACTGGCTTTTGCGTAAAGGAAATTAAACACATCAAAGGTAAATGACAATATTGTTGGCAGCTCTGACTACAGACAGTACCTTCCAAATCAGCAGTTGCTTCTGGAGTAATGATGACAGAATAACTGGGAAAACTTTTGCTGTGGGAACTGCCTAGGACGGGCCAGGGTCCTGGAGTAGGAGAGGCCAGAGAGATCAGGGGCTACTCACAGAACCTCCCTGTGACTCACAGCCTGGCATGTACAGAGGGATGGTGAGAGAGTCGGGACACATTGCACTGAGCAGAAGGTTGGCCTGGTGGCCTCAGTGTCCAGCCAGGAAGGAGCAGGGTCAAGGAGCTGTTTAAGAGCCGGGATTAGCCGACCATCTGCAGCAGCCAGCATTGGTGCTGAGTACGTCATATAATAAATATTTTTTTACATATAGAGTTCATTTCATCTCACTTTCTGCTCAGTAGAAACCGTTGGCAATCCCCCTTTATAGATGAGCCAACTGAGGAGCAAAGAGAGACTCAGTACTGAGTGGAACTCGTGGCCTTGAAGGCTTAGTTCTAACCAAGGTATGTGGACTAATAAACTGACCGAAGGCCAGTGCTGCCTCTTCCATCAGCGGTAATTCAGGAGGCCCGAGGGGGCTCATGACTCTGCCCTTCACCTCCTTTCCCAGAAGCCCTGCAACGTTGGGTGAGCCAGCACCCACCTTGGAAGCGCTGCTGCTCGCCGTCCGCTGCCCCTGATGCTGAGCAGCCACAGGAAGGTGTCTCACTGTCTCCAGGGAGGAGCCTCATCTAACCTGGAAGTGCTCAGGCCCAGGGTGGCAGGTCCTGTGCGGGGAGGACCGGCACCGACACCTGCCTTTTTGACTGTCCACTGCTTTGTCATTGGTATTCCTTTCACACATGCTGAGTTCCAGTGTTTTTAAGGCTGTGCATAAAAGATCATGTCTGCTTCAGGGGGATGAAACAATGGTGAGGGGGATGCAGCAGGAGCCAGCTGGTGGGCAGAGCCCCAACACGGAGGACGTGGCAGAGGGGGGCAATGTGCAGTGCTCAGTTCTCTAGAAAGATGTGGGATGGGGGTGTTCGGGGAGGTCTGGGTGAGAAGACTTGGGTTTGATTTTTCTCTGATGTTCTAAACCATTACCTGTGGTTGCAGTAAAAGAAAAACCACTTGGGCTAGCCGAGGGGAATGTACTCTGAGAAGAGGAAGAAGTACCTACCCAAGGGGCACTCTGGGGCCTCAGGAAGAGAAAGAAACAAGGCTGGAAACTGTCAGATTTGCCTGGTAAGTTTTGGCATCTGGGACCCAATTTCTGGAGGCAAAGTCCTAAACAACTCTAGGGCCAAAACCAAAACCAAACCAAACAAACAAAAAGACAAATAACCCCGAAAGCCAGGCTAGGCTCAGGCCTAGTCCAAGGACTCGGGATCTGATCACTTCCTCCTAGACCCTTGTTACCTGTGGTCTAGTCAGCTGTGGGCATGGAGAAGGAAAGCCCTGCCAATGTGGCTGCCTCAGGGACTTCCACGGCCCGGAAGACAGCAGAAGTGCTGGTGGGCATGGAAGGTGTTAGGGACCTGGGAGGGCTGAGGCCTGGCCAGCACCTGGTGGGAGCAGGAGAGGGAGTGGAAGTGCAGGTGGTCCCAAGCCAAATGCCAGTGCCTGACATTGCAGCCTCTCCCGTCCAGACTGCTGCCTCTCCTACAGCTCCAGCCTCCTCTGCTCCATCCGCGACTGGTCTAGCAGCTCTGTGTTCCTACTCTTGCTGTTCTCTACCCCTAATCTTGTTCCGGGCTGACCTCTCTGGCTCTCTCTCCGTCCTTTCCCTCTCCAGCTCCTCTCATTATCCCTCTTCTTGCAGCCGCTTTCTTGAGATGGGCCATTTTCTTTTTCTTTCTTTTTTCTTTTTTTAATGTATTTGGTACAGGGTCTCACTACACAGCTCAGACTTGTAGTGATCCTCCTGTTTTCAGCCTCCCCAGTGCTGGGATTGCAGGTGCGTGCCTGGACCGGGTGGCCAGCTCAGTGTGTCCTGGGGCAGAGCCGGCATGGCATGGGGTGCTGGAGATCGAACCCTGGTCCCTGCGCTCACCCAAGCAGGCTCTTCGTCTGCTGAGCTACCTTGCGGGCCCTGAGATGGGCCATTTTCAACTGGAGCAGGTAGTTGTGAACTCCGTCTAGGCAATGTGTGCTTCTGTGAATTCACCACTTGTTGACACTGTCAGAAGGCTGGCATTCTCCTGGCTGCTAGCGTGGAGGTCCTATGCCCGTCGGGCATCTGGCCCTGGAGGAAGGTCTGTGTAGCCTGACTGCACGTCAAACCTTCGGAAAGGCACAATTTATCAGGACCTGGCGCTCCTGGCTCTTCCTGCCCACCACTGTGAAGGTGTTGTTGCCGGTGTGGGGATATAAGGGGACTCTGCCGAACACTGTGGATCCACCACTGGCCCTCTGGCTTCTCCTTGTCACCCTAGTAAACCATTCCAGCACCTCTTGCCTGAGAGATGCTCTGCTCACTGCAGGGACTCGGGGCGAATCCGGCGGGGCAGCGGCTACAGCTGGTCCTCATGGATCCCAGGGCCAGGAGCCAGGAAACTCCGGACCCTTGAAGCCTCCGGGCTCCTCGCCAGTTGCCCCCTTCCTCTTTGGCTGCTACCGCCCATACCAGTTTGTAAAGGGGAGAGGTACAGAGAGAGGAGGGCGTCCTAGTTCGAGCTCCTCCCCGCCT